GTGTGTGTGTGTGTGTGTGTGTGTGTGTGTGTGTGTGTGTGTGTGTGTGTGCCTGCGTGTGTGTGTGAAATATAAATTATTCTATCTAGAAGGGGGGAGTCAAAGAAGCTCAACTTTTCCCCCAGACAACAGAAGGTGGCAGGACGGACATAGACCATGCAAATCAATAATGAATATTAGATCTACTAATTATAATAATAATCTCATAAATTCAGTTTCAGAATCTGCCAAAAAGCACATCAGTATTATCTGCTCATGACTTCTACAGCCCAGTAGTCCAGAATCTTCACCATGAACTCACTGCATCCTGGATAAGAAGGAAACATAAAAAGGAATATTTTAAAAATCTGAATGCCACTGAAGACTAAGTGAATCACATGAGACACATGAGTTAGGACAGTTGAACCCACTCTGACGACGACCATCTGTTCAATACTTCACCTGCACAAATGACCTCTTTCCACTTCCAACCTTACGTTTTTCCTACATTGTATTATAATGACGCTATACAAGAGGATCATCTGTTTTACATGAGAATTTTTCTTTTCGACAATGGGTAGTTGTTTTGGAAAGGTTCGACTATATAACCATCATCATCTTCATCATTATATTATCGTTGTCATCGTCATCATAACACTATCATCAAATATCACAGACAATTCCTATTTTTCTTGTTTTGTTTTTCTTAAAGTGTAACAATTTGCACCATGTCAGCACATTTTTATGTAATCTACAAATATCGACACCAAAATCAGAACACGGAACAAAAAAAAAAAAAAAGGAGATAGGTTCCACTATATATGGTTCAAAGACAAAGAAAGTTCTTAGTCTGAGTTAAAAGAAGCACATCAGCACAATAACGGTCATGTAGTGCAAGGAAGCAGCAAGAGACAGACAGAAACAACAGGGAAAGAAAACAAGACGGACCTACTAGTGGCGCACTCCAACCACCTGCGAATGTTCTTAGAAAGAAGAACAATACAAACTATCATATAATTATTGTCTGTAATAGACTGAGACTGTCTTGAAACAGCAAAAAATATTGCACTGGAGTCTGTGGCGTAGTGATCAGTTTAGCTGTTCGTCATTCCATATAAAACATAAAAGATGAGATAAGATAAGATACATCTTTATAGTCCAGATCCTGGCACATTGGTTTGGTGTTCCACCACATGTACACACACACACACACACACACACACACACACACACACACACACACACACAAACACACACACGCACACACATGCACACACAAGTAGGCTTACAATGAGCAGCAATATAAACAATAATAATCGTAAGTTCGATAAGTTCGATACGTTAGATCTGAGTTTGAATCTTGTGTGGGGAAGTTTTGTTGCTGTATTTTGAAAGGGATACACTACAGCATTCATTCAGCCTGAGTTGGCCCTGAAAGGCAGGGTCACCTTATACAATCTAACATAATAATAATAATAATAATAATAATAATAATAATAATAATAATAATAATAATAATAGATAACATTTGTATCGCGCATATCCCCGCTCAACAGCAGGCTCTATGCACTTTACACTACAGTGGAAACCATATATAACAGGCCCGGTAATAACAGGAATCCGGTAATAACAGGAATCCGGTAATAACAGGAATCCGGTAATAACAGGGATCCGGTAATAACAGGGATCCGGTAATAACAGGGATTTTTTAAATCCCCGGTTTTTCCTACTCTTTGTCTCCATTAAAAGTTATGGGCAATAACAGGGCCCCATCGCAGCCCCACCGGTTATAGCAGGGACAAAAGCTTGCTAACAATGTGTAAAAAGTAAGAGAGAGAGAGCAAGCCCACGCAAGCCATGCCACTGCAAGCACACACAGCAGTGTGAAGCGAGAGTTCAAAGCACACACGCATGCACCACACCACACTTTGACTGTTCACTAACATCAGTTCATCATAGCTCATATGTGTAGATCTAAGCTTAACGCGCTCTGTGGACTAAGCCTACTTCTTTCCTTATGGCCACCAACGATGTCAAGCGCAAGAGAAAATGCCTTTAAATGGACAAAATATATGAAATAATCCAGGCGGTTGACAAAAAACAAGCTCCACTTGCAAGATTTGTCGTCAGTTCGACCTTCAACAAGGGTCGATTCACACCATTATCAAGGATAGAGAGAAGATAGTGGCAGCATACTTCAATGGAAAGTTTGCTCTAGATCGAAAGATGAGACTACCCGATGCATATGCTGTGGACCAAGCTCTTCTGATGTGGTTTAGGGAGGCATGGAGAAATTGGTGCCAAAACCCCTGATCGTGGGTACTTGTGGCAAGGGGAACTACCCATGAATAAGTACCTCTGGATTAGTCCACAAATGCTTACTTTCCTTGCATTTCTGATTTAACAGGGATCGGATATAACAGGACTTTTCTTCTACTCCCACCATCCCTGTTATATCAGGTTTCCACTGTATATTATTACCCCAGCAGACCATAGAACACTCCGAAACATTCTCAGCTTCCCGGGAAGCATACAGTGCAAGCAGCTGATTAAGCGCTCAAACACTAACAATCTGACAAGATCTTTCGCTGTCTATAGCCGGGTACCCATTCCCACCTGGGTGAAGTGAGGAAAATTCGTGTAAAGTGCCTTTCCCAAGGACACAACGTCGGGTCCCTGACGGGATTCGAACCCACGACCTTACGGTTGCGAGTCCGACAGCCTAACCACTAGGCCACCGACGCCACTATATGTTTATTTTTATTGATTTAAGTAAAGAGAAGTTCCCGTACATCAATAAAATAACTGCGATATAGAGCAGGGAAAGTGTTAGACAGAAACTATAGAGAGAAAGAAAAGAGGTAAGGCCTGCCAGAGGCACTCTCCAACCATCTACATCTCAATTGTGTCAATTGGAGGGTAAACTTCAGGTTTTAAACGAAGCCATCACAATTCTGAATTCCAGTGTATTTTTTCATTGTTTTAAAAATATAGATAGCATTTGTATAGCGCAAATCCCAACTCAACAGCAAGCTCTAAGCGCTTCACAATCTATACTATTACCCCAGCAGACCTGAGAGCATTCTGAAACAACCTCAACTTCCTGGGATGCATACAGTGTAAGCAGACATTTATAGGCGCGAAAACACTAACATCCTGACAAGATCTTTCGCTGACTATGGCCGGGTACCCATTCCCACCAGGGTGAAGTGAAGAAAATTTGTGCAAAGTGCCTTTCCCAAGGACACAACGTCAATCCCCCCTACGATTGTGAGTCCGGTCGCCTAACCACTAGGCCACCCACGCCACACTGTAACAACAATATTCAAATTACAGTATAAGATTAGGCTTTCAGATCACTTGGGCACTAAAGGACAACCCCCCCCCCCAAAAAAAGAAGAAAATTACCCTTTCAGTCACAAAGTTGGATTTAAATATAAGACACGCAAAAAGATAAGTGCCTGATGCCCCCCCCCCCAAAAAAAGAAGAAAAAATACCCCAAAAAGTACAATATGTCTGGACTGGCAAATACACAAACAGATGTTATTATTTTGTACAGGCTATTTTAGAGCCCAAATCAGATAATTCCAACAGAGCAGACATTGCATCTGGGGGTTTTTTAGCTCTTTTTTTTCAGTCCTTGTGAGGCATATTTTTTGGGGACTGGCTCGTTTGCCTTGAAAGTCACCATGTGTCCAATAGCCCTAAAAAAGTGACAGAAACCCCAGAAACCAAATCAGGTTCCATCCCCGAAATACCTTTGTTCATGGAAGTTCTCAGTTGAAATTCTTTAATTTTTTCTTTTGCCTGCTCCAGGCCAGGCAACACAAGACAAGTCATCACGTGGTGGAGGAGTGACGCTTCTTCTTTAGATTCTGGGTCATCTTGACCTAGATATTCCTCTACAGCCTTCAGGTGCGCCGTGTCTGGTCCTGGACAGTCAGTCTGGTGTTCTGTGAGTGTGAGGAAAAGAAAATAAGTTTGATACAAAACTACAAAAAAGGCAAGGGTAGATCTAACATCTAACATGGTCCTCATATCAAAATGTTCCCAGGCCACATGTCCAGGCTCATTAGATTTAGATTCTAGGTCACTTGATAGTTAAGACTCTTTTGAGCTACACGAGAAATTGAATAGATCACAGTAAGAAAAAAAAAGTGTTGTCTGATACAAATTTTTCTTTAAAAATCGATAAAATTCACAGTTCAAGCCTGCGTAACTCCATAAATAAACTGGGGCACATCAAAAGGTAAGTGCTGATTCTGTTACAAGTAACTATCATGACTTTGGTAAAAATTCTAAACACAAAACTTTTAAAATATTGTACAGCAGTGGTAGCCTTCATACTGAAAGCTGATCGGAGTCCTGAGGGCAAGAAAGTCATTTTCACTAATGATTGAAAAGACTGAGCTGCTATCTTTCAGATGGGCCTCGAAAAGATCATTGCTATTCTTTTTCTGCTTTCATTTTTGAAAGTTCATTAATATTTTACCAACGTTGCTGGTTAGTGGTTCAAATGACATAAAAGTTCATTAATATTTTACCAACGTTGCTGGTCAGTGGTTCAAATTACATAAAAGTTCATTAATATTTTACCAACGTTGCTGGTCAGTGGTTCAAATTACATAAAAGTTCATTAATATTTTACCAACGTTGCTGGTTGAGTAGTTCAAATTACATATAAATTCATTAATATTTTACCAACGTTGCTGGTTAATGGTTCAAATTACATAAAAGTTCATTAATATTTTACCAACGTTGCTGGTCAGTGGTTCAAATTACATAAAAGTTCATTAATATTTTACCAACGTTGCTGGTTAGTGGTTCAAATGACATAAAGGTTCATTAATATTTTACCAACGTTGCTGGTTAGTGGTTGAAATGACATAAAAGTTCATTAATATTTTACCAACGTTGCTGGTTAGTGGTTCAAATTACATAAAAGTTCATTAATATTTTACCAACGTTTCTGGTTAGTAGTTCAAATTACATAGAAGTTTATTAATATTTTACCAACGTTGCTGGTTAGTAGTTCAAATTACATAAATGTGAGGCAGAGTGGTGGAATCAGGCTCTCGTCAATTTTTGGGCATGTAGAGTTATTGGTATCATCTTAAAGCTTGTTCACTCGTCTTTATTTGGATGAAAAAAACATCCATTTATCTAGAATACAAGTCGGGATATTAGCGAAAGAAGGAGGTGGGGATCACCTGTTTTCAGAGGTAAAATTAGTGAGAAAATGGCCGCCTAAGATTAGTTATTTCCTTAGCTTGAGTCCGTGGTAACTGAAAATTTACATTTTTTGTGCCTTTTATCAACGTTTTTCTGAAAAATCCACCCGGAAATTAGTTCCTTAATTGGCATGAAAGGTGTTGAGCCAAATAAAAATTTATAAAAATTCACAAACCTGGGGAAAAATGCAAGTTTCTTCACTTTGATTATTTTGACGAGAGCCTGATTCCACCACGCTGCCTCACAAATTATCAGCTCATAGAAGATTTTCATTGTCTCTCAGTCTCTCAATGTACTTTGTTGGTTTGCCCAGGGTATAGATCTGTTGTTGGTAAACTCCTGCATAACAATAACTTTACTTCTCTCATCTTTCTCTGTTCTAAGCTTTTCAACATTCCAGCTCTTCCTTGCACTGGCAGATTTTATGCCTAGTTTATGTAACGATTTGGTGAGTGTTACCTTCTAAACAGTAGACCTCCCAAACTGCTTGCAGAAACTCACAAACAGAACTTTTTAAGTCTGGACTTTCTTCAGACGAACATGATCTGAAGAACAATCAAATTCATGAACATTGTTTAAAACAATAAGTACCAAAAGTGCACCACCAACATGATATATCATCATCATATATATATATATATATATATATATATATATACATGTACACAGGATTCGTCCATGGAACACTCAATATTGAACATGAGTTTGAGTTGTTGAGTGATGAACAACGAAGAAGTTGGGAGGCAAAACTGACTCTCCACTCACCCACCCAATCACACCTAGTGACAGTTTGAATACAACAATCATATTGACAAAAATAACATTTTTTAATTACAGCATGGCTAGATTGAGAGAAGACAGGCAGAAACAATTTAATAGAGGAAAGAGAAGAAGTAGGACCTACAAGTGGCGCCCTCCTTCAACCTACTCACTCAGTGTGCATGTTTTCAGATGGCCCAAAGTACACTAAACCCCAGAGACGAATTTCTCATCCTGTCTCGAGTGGCCATTTATGGTAGGTGTACATGATATGTCTCGCAAAACTAACTTTATATTCTGATGGCCCACATAAAAAAGCATAGTCGGAAAGCTGATAAAATGTACTTAGCCTGGAAATAGCAATTTGTCAGAAGAGAGAAAAAACTGTTCCATTCTTTGAACCCACACTACATTCTTTGGTTTTCTTTTGAACATTTAGAATTTGAATCTCGACTAAATATTCCTTGCGCACATGCAACCAATACCACGCATGATTAAGAACTGCAATAAACTCCCTTACCAAATTTTGGTCTACATCTGATGATCTGAACAGCCTGCTAGAGCTAAACTGATACATGCATACGCTGTGATGAACAAGGAAACGGAAATCGACACATGAGACAGTACGGTTGAGTGGATCATTTCACACATTTATAACAGCATAACAGCATCGACCGGACAGAGATCAGAATAAATAGAAGGGACACACATCGTGCGAGGCAATGGGCTATCTACTGGGACTCTCAGGCATGGCAGAACGACACGAGACTGGTCTGGTGAAAGTGTGCTCGAGAGTCAGCGCCGCTGATCAGCATCCACCGCACTGCATGCCAAAGTGGGAAAAGTTGTACGCACACATCTGCCCAGTGCCCATTGGCATGACCGGTTCGGTTCCGTGTGTGGGCGGGGCTAGCCAGATTGAGAGCGAAACGCGACCATCGTGGCACAAACCGAACGAAACCGAGGGTGACCGTAAAAAACAAGGTCACAAGTCGGGCGATCGGTTTGTATAAGAGAACCGACCACCCAGTGAGAACGATGACTTTGGCTCAATGATGTGATGTGAAGTATGAGTCATTCGAAATGGCATCGAATGGATCAGCGTCACAGACAAAATAGGACAATATACTCGAGTGGTAGCAACCCTAAGTAGAGAATGTCGCGCGTGGCCAAAGGGGGCAGCTGTTACCGAGGTCCAGACACTGATAGAGGAGACAGTGAAGAGGGTAATGTAGCCATCTTCACAAGTGGGTCAGTGCAGCGTGGGGTCACATCCGGATGTGCTTTCAGTGCCACAGACAGACAGACAGACAGACAGACAGACAGAGAGAGATAGGGGGAGAGAGAGGGGGAGAGAGAGGGAAAGGGAGAGGGAGAGGGAGAGAGAGAGGGGGAGGGAGGGAGG